TCACGGTCTTCTTCCGTGACGTCAGATCCCAGAAGGCGACTGTCTTGTCCATGGAGGCGGTGGCGACGCGACGGGAGTCGGCGGCGAAGCAGCACGCCGTCACGGTGGCCGTGTGAAGGTCACCGACGCTGTCGACGAGAGCGCCCGAGCCGGCATCCCAGATCTTGAGCGTGTGATCGAGGTCACCGGTGGAGGCGACGAGTCGACCGTCTTGCGAGAAGCGACAGCAGGTGACGAAGCCGGAGTGACGTCCGCTCCATAGCAGCTGACCCGTCGCTGTGTCGCAGACGCGCACCGACCTATCGTAGGATGCCGACGCGAACCTGGGAGCGAGGCAGAGCGTTGAAGGGATTCATTTATCGCTGTGGCTACGCGTCCGGTCATCCATTACAAATCTCAGCACAAATTCCCAAATCCACGTCACGATTAGGCCACGCCCCCTTTCAAATCGTTGATTTTACTGGATTTACTATTGCTTCAAAAGTTACAAAAACACGTTTTTTTGATAAAATATCTAAATGTAAGTAATATTTATAGTAAAAATTTATTGTTTATTGTTTTTTACTAAAAAAAAATACTTGCTCTGGAAGCTGGGCGTCCGGTAACCGGACGCGTAGCCACGGCCTTCATTTATTCATATATATATATATATATATATATTATTAATCAGTAATTTAAACAAGCGAATAGGCCAATAGGGTAACCCGTGTAACCAGTCGATACGCGGTTTCGCGCCTGAAAACATCGCCATAAAGCACGCGTTGAAGTTATGCTATTATTAATTAGTTTACTACTTACTTTTTGCAATACTTAATTGAGCAAGTAATAAACTAATTAATAATAGCATAACTACTAACACTGGTAGTATTATCAGGAGTAAGATAATATAGACTATATATATTTTACTCTTGGCTTATGGCCTATATTATCTTACTCATGCTACTACTACTACTACTACTACTACTACTACTACTACTACTACTACTACTACTACTACTCTACTACTACCGCCTCCGCCAGGTTTACTATTAGGTTGTTTAAACTATCCCTCTTACTACATTGTACAAACTTTGTACTGTCCGGGCACATGTGGCAAGATGACACGCTGTCAGTATGGCCGGTGTAGGTATGGACGGCCTTCATTGATGCACTGTTAAACAACCGCACGGTCCTGTCAGTGGAGGCACTAAGGATGTGTGAGTCGTCCATGCAGAAACAGCAGGAATTAACGCTGTCCGTGTGCTCCGCAAAGCACTTGTTGGCAACTCTAGCCAAATCATCCTGCTTCCAACCAGATTCGTCGATATCGCCACGGTCACTATCTGCAGACGCCATCGGTTAACTGCGTTGTGGTTTTATACTGTTACTGAACTTGAAATACTTGAAACAGAAGTGCAGTTGCTAAATGCCTACTACGTGTTTATAGTGGTGGTGTATATAAATATATAGTTGCTGTTAATGTGTTTCGTGGTAGGATATGATAATTCAACAGAAGAAACACGTGATTTATGATTAACAATTCGTTTAACTATAGGCCTTGGACTGGAACGGAATATTTATATCTCACATGTAGGTTGTTTGTTTAGACTTTAAAAAATTATTGTGGACAACATTGTTTATAATAATATGACGCGTTCGAAAGAACAATGTTAGCTAATGCGCGTGCACCGATCTCTCGTTCTCAGTACAGGAAAATCGGATACAGCTATAGGCACCTTATGATTATTATAATAACTAGTGGGTATGTGCTCTATACGTTTAACATGGTCTGGGGGTAGGCCTATCTCAGCATAGATTTCTGTAATAAATTCCTATCGGTAGGCCTGTGTTTATAATTAGGAGAGCGCCCTAGCCTGTAGGGTGCAAAACTACTACTTCGTCCTCGCCCGCCCTTTCTTTTGTCTCCCTTGTCGCACGCTCAGCCTCCGCTTTCTTCCACCGCCACTCAGCTATCTTCCCTGCCGCCTTCCCTCAGTCTCCCATCCTTCTCTCCCTCAGCAAGTTATATTACGTAGTTTTCTTAAGGCCGTACTGCACAAAAAGTATGAATTTAAAATGAGGAGGAGATATCCTAGCATAGATCTATATGATAAAATTCTATCAGTAGACCTCACTTATGAAATAGGAAGCAGACGTTGCATGTAGGGTCCTGGCTGCATATACCAGTCAGTACATAATCTGGCTATACGTACGTTAGTGTTTTAGCGCATGCGCAATATATCACCTGAGGAGTGATATTTTGTGATGAAAATGCATCATTAGGCTCTCAACGACGTAACATTACATTCATTTGATAAAGATAGACCATATCAAGAGCTAATAATGCCTATTACCTACTACTATAATACTAGAATTAGCTCTGGACCATATATTAGAAAAGTTCTTAGGTTGCACGATATTCAGTTGTTATATAATATAAGAGATAAGTATAAAAAAAAAATCCGGCATTTAGTTTTACACAAGCGTTTTCATCTTTATAGAATCTTATGTAATATATATA